TCTCTCTCTCTCTCTCTCTCTCTGTGTGTGTGTGTGTGTGTGTGTGTCTGTGTGTGTGTATGTCTGTGTGTGTGTGTGTCTGTCTGTGAAGGGTACGGCATGTAATCAATCACACATGTCAGCATGCGCATGGCACCTTCTGTGTGACAACAATCAACCGTTTCATCATGGAGGTTCTTCTTACCCAGGCAAGGCCAACCCGAGTTAATGAACCTGATGATGAGCCAGATCTACCACAGAGACCGAAAAACAGATGGACTGATGACCCTGATTACAAAGACAGAACCTAGTATGACCATACCTTTCTCCTTACAAGTTAGCGCACCCGTTCGCGCCTCGTCTCCTTGAGATAGACTGGGTAAGAGGAGCTCAGGCCTTCCTGGGCTCATCCCCTCATTCCCTCAGTGCTGCCGAGTGCATGCCCGCGATTCAAAGGCCAGCTTCAAAATTATGCACTCCAGATGACAGAACCTGTCAGAACAGACCCAGTCCATGTGGCTGAAAACAGTAGGCATGCAACTGCTCTTAGTACACAACATGATTCCGCATCCTGATAGAATCAAATGACCGCCATAGACTTAGGGATCACCCCTCATATTCGCAGATGGTTGGATGGCTGAGTGAATGTCTTGTGAGGATTACTCTCGCTGTCCGGCTTGGTCAAGAGAATGAGTAGCGTGAATCACCTTCGCTCTTTCACTTGGTTGAGTGATTGTATTGTGTGGATCTTTTACAATCCATGAACGATTGAGTGTGTTTGTTGTGTGAATTTGTGTTACTTGAATTCTTTTTGTTGTATGATGTGGTCAAACAAGTGCGCCACGTGAACTCTTCTCATCAGGAAGAATAGATTGATAATGAACAGTATGTTACTCGCACGGTGCATTAACAATTGTCTGTTGGCATGAAAACTGGTGGGAGCAACGGTGGTCGGTGGGGGCTGCCACCCTCTTCACGCCTGGAAAGGTCCAACCGTAGTAGTTGGACTGGTCCAAGTAGGAGAAGGGGGGGTGCAAGGTCCCCCACTTCCCCACTTGCACGGAGGATTAAACCACCAGAATAGTTGTCCAGCCATTTTTTTCTCCAATGCTTTTTCTCTGACGCGGCGTGTATGCAGCCGCAAGTTTAGGGGTCGGCCTGCCAGAGCAAAATGGCTGACGGGGCCGGCCAAAAAAAGGTGCAGGTATGCAGCCGCAAGTTTAGGGGTCGGACTGCCAGAGCAAAATGGCTGACGGGGCCGGCCAAAAAAAGGCCTGCACCGGTTCCTTTGTTTTGGTGGTGCGTAGCGCATTTCGAGCATTGGCAAGGGAATGGGTTAAGAGTAATGGTGGTTTATTTAAGAGAAGATAAAGGATGTTGATCTTCGTTATGTATGACTGGTATCCCTTGACCTGTGCAAATGGGACCTCGCCCCGGGCGATCGGACGGTTGGGTGAAATTATGCGCCTCTTCTGAAATGTTCTTTACGTTTTTTGTCCCTTCTTTTTTGTGTTTCGTTCTGAATTGAAGAGGTGCAGCTCCTCCGCCCAACCCAGGTGTCAGAAAGCATCCACAGCCCATGCAGGTGCGCTCCACCCAGCCCAGGGAAAAGATCTACCTTTGCCATTGGCCCACTGCCAGTTGGGGGATCAACAGTTAACGCATGTAACTGTCAATGAGTAGATCAGGAGTTCAAATCCTCTAACTGTGGGCTCCCTGAGGATTTGAACTCCCATGATCTACTCATCCACAGTTACACTGGCTCCCTGAGGATTTGAACTCCTGATCTACTCATCCACAATTAACGAAGGTAACTGTGGATGAGTAGATCAGGAGTTCAAATCCTCAGGGAAAGGCACAAGATGGATACAAGAACAATTTTATGGGCTTTGACCATTTGGAAAAAAGAGAAAAGAAAAAACGAAACGAATTGAAGGAAAAGCTCTGACTTAGCAAAAACAAGCAAAACGCTCAGGAAGACCTTTGTTCGAACTCAGTGCGTATACTTAGATGACTGTCTTCTCCCTGACTACATACAACGCATGGTCATCATGTCTGTATTTTTCTTGGGGCAACTTTCAGTCTAGATACAGCAATAATCACCGTAGGTTCTATTTCGGGGACCGCAGCGAGGAGGACTTTCGAGACTGACCCTGTTCTCTCTCTCTCTCTCTCTCTCTCTCTCTCTCTCTCTCTCTCTCTCTCTCTCTCTCTCTCTCTCT